AGGTAAATATTTGTAAAAGGCTTTTTTTATAAAAAAAATCAATTAGAAAATGCACCTTTGGTGAGAAGGGAACAGCGTTCCATGCATCTTTGGCACTTAGTCATGCCGGCCACATGACCACAGAGATGTCTCCGGACAGTGCTGGCTCTTCGGCTTTGAAATGCAGATGAGCACCGCCCCCTAGAGTTGGGAACAGCTAGCACATATGTGCGAGGGAAATCTGTACCAATAAAGGAGAATATTCTTATCTGAGGGTTGAAGTGGCAGCTCCTGTGCATCTGATGGCTTCCTGGCCATCAACTTGCTTCCCTTCATTTCACCCAGGCCTCTTAAAAGCCTAAATGACTGAAAAGCTTAATTTAATCATGCCAGAGATCATTGGCTGCAGCCAGGGTCATCTAATGCTTTTACATGGTAAAGATGATATAATGGATGTTATTTTTTTGGTAATCAAATCAACCCCAATGATTCACGACTAAAAGCCGTAATGGCTTCTTAATTAATATGATTATCGTTGGCTCGGCTTACAGCTCTTGACCCCGTAACAAAGACGGAAAGGACTGGGAAGCCCTCTGCTCCATCTCCTGGCAGAGGTAAACCAGGGAAGACGAAGATCTAGAAACAGATAAACCAACAAACCAGGTGTTTGGGACAAGGTTACATTACTGCTGACTGCCGGCAGTTTGGCAGTTCGAATCCCACCAGGCTCAAGGTTGACTCTACCTTCCGTCCTTCCGAGGTTGGTAAAATGAGGACCCAGATTGTTGGGGGCAAAAGGCTGATGCTGTAAGCTGCTTAGAGAGGGTTGGGAAGGACTGTGAAGTGCTATATAAGTCTAAGCGCTAGGGCTAAGTACAGAAGAGCGGAAGTGGTGTAGTGGTTAGAATGCGGTATTGCAGGCTAACTCACTGCTCATTGCCAACCGTTTGATCTTGACCTGCTTTAGATTGACTCAGTCTTCCAACCTTCTGAGGTTGATAAAATGAGGACTCAGGTTGTTGGAGGCAAGAGGCTGACTCTGTAAACTACTCAGAGAGGACTGTAAAAGCACTGTGAAGTAGGATATAAGGACTATTGCATCTTATCTCTCTATTTGTCTATATACAGTATCTCTCTGTCTCACCCTGTTTCTTTCTGTCTATCTCTGTCTGTCTGTCTGTCTGTCTGTCTATCTATCTATCTATCTACCTACCTACCTACCTACCTACCTACCTACCTACCTACCTATCTATCTCTATCATCTATCATCTATCTATCTATCTATCTAT